TGTGTGGAAGTCAAGGTCCTGACCCAGGGCCATTGATAAGAAATTGGACAATAGTTGAAATTTCAGGAGAACTCAGGAAGGAAGGAAGATAGCATAAAAGAATGGGAGTCCTTTCCAGAGAAGTGAGTGAAAGGTCTTGAGCTCTGTTTTGAAAAAGCAGAGATGAAGGGAGCGCTGGTGGCCTAGTGGCAAGAAACTGTACTGCAATCCCAAAGGTGGCAGTTGTGAATCGTAGGTGACTCATAGCAACTCTATGAATGCAAGTCGACACTTGAGTGACTTTCATCCTTTCTCCAGGTTCATAGGGTTTCCGGAGGCAAGCTATTATGGAAGTGGATGCCACTCCTGGTTACAAGCTTGTTTTAATCCCAAAGGTACCCGGTTCAAATCCACCAGATACTCTGCTGGAGAAAGAGGGGCTGTCTCCTCCTGTACCAGTCAGATTCGATTTGATGACAAAACACACACACACACACAGAGAGAGAGAGAGAGAGAGAGAGAGAGAGAGAGAGAGAGAGAGAGAGAGAGAGAACAGAGATGCTCACAGCAGGAGGGGCTCCCAGGGGCTGAGCACTGCTTCTTGTTGTTGTTGTTATTAGGTGCTGTGGAGGTAACTACACTTCATAGCGAAGCTATGAACAATAGTTCTGGGACTTGTCCTGTCCTGCACCATTATCATAATCTCTTCATGCTCAAACCCACTGCTGTAGTCACTGTGCCAATCCAACCCATCGAAGGTCCTCCTCTCTTCCACTGAGCCTCTCTCCTTCCCAGCATGAGTCCTTTCCCAAGGCCTGGCCTCTGTTGACAACATGCGCAACATGTGTGGGATGAAGTTCACCGTGGTTGCCTGTAAGAAGCCCCCCTGGTTTCACTTCTTCCAGCACAGGTTTGTTAGTTCTTCCGGCAGTGAGTGGGACAGTCAATACTCTTCTCCAACACCATTCAAAGCATCCATTTCTCTTTGGTCTTCTTTATCCATTGCCCAATTTTCAGAGGCATAGGGAGTAATTGAAAAGACCATGGCTTTCATGGGCACCACCTTAGTCTTGAAACACCTATCCTTGCCCTCTGGCCCTTTAGAGAAGTCCTTGGCAGCAAACGTGCCCAATGCATGTCTTTTGATTTCTTTGTTGCTGCTTCCAAGGGTGTTGATAAGGGATCCAGGTTAAATGAAATAAATGGCATCTTTAATCTTTCCTCAAGCGACTCAATGGCACATACAACAATCTTTCCTTGGTGATGCAAGGAGTCTGAGGCTCGACTGACACTGTGGCCATGTTGCAAGGAGGAACCGGTCCTTGGAGAGGGACATTATGCTCGGAAGGGTGGAGAGACAGCACAAGAGAGGAAAACCCTCCCTGAGATGATTTGACTCAGTGACTGGAGTAATGAGGGTGGATGTGTCAGAGATAATAAGGTTGGCACAGGATAGAGAAGGCTTCAGGGCTGTTGTACACAGGGTCGTTTGAGTCGCAAATGACTTGATGGCACATAACAACAACAACAGTCTTTCCTTGAATTCTGGCACCATTTTCTTCATCATTACATTAAAATTATTTGCTCAGAATACATATTGATAGGGGCCAGACCAGATTGCTGATAGCAAGTTTGTATCATCGAGTCAGAACCGACCCATGGCTGACCCTCCAGCAGGTTTTCAGAGGCAGTTGATCACGTGGGAGGAGATTTCCCATCTTTCTCCCGCAGAGCAGCTGCTGGATTCGAACCATGTGCCTACAGAGTTGTAGGGCAGAGATCCATATATATTCCCATTCCAAAAAAGGATCATCTGACAGAGTGTGGAAATGATCAGGTGATATCACTATACCATATGCAAGAAAAATCCTACTGAAGATTTTCCAAAAACAACTGGAACAGCACATTGACAGAGAAATACCAGAAATACAAGCAGAAGCCATGGCACTATGGACATCATCACAAATGTCAGATGGGTGGGTGTTGGCCGAAAGCAGAGAGTACCAGAAGAATGTCGATCTGTATTCCATTGACTATGCAAAGGCATTTGACTGTGTGGATCACAACAAATTGTGGCTAACGTTGAGAAGAATGGGAATCCTAGAGCATTTGATCGTACTCCTGTGAAACCTATACTTGGACCAGGAGGCAGTGGTCAGAACAGAGCAAGGAGACACTGCATGGCTCAAAATCAGGAAAGAAGGGTGTCAGGGATCTATCCTATCTCCATGCCTTTTCAATCTATATGCAGAAAAGATCATTTGGAAGGTTGGACTTTATGACGAGGAATGTGGCTTCAGGATTCGACAGGACTCATCAGAAACCTACACTATGCTGATGACACAACCTTATTTGCTGAAACTGAGGAGGGCCTGCAATATTTGCAGCAGAGGGTCAAGGACTGTGATATGGATTGAAGCTCAACATCAAGAAAACAAAGATTCTCACTACTGGGCCAACTGGCATCAACTGTCAGCATCATCATAGATGGAGAAGATGTTGAGATTATTAACTGTTTCAGCTTGCTAGGTTCCATAATCAATACCATTGGCACCAGCAGTCAGGAAATCAAAAGACGAATTGCATTAGGAAAATCTGCTGTCAAGAGCCTCTAGGGGGAGCTCTGGTGGTCTAGTGGTAAGGAGCTGCAACTACAATCCCAGAGGTGCACGGTTCGAATCCACCAGATGCTCTGCCGGGGAAGGAGGGACAATCTCCTCCTGTACCAGTCAGATCTGATTTGACGGTACATGCACACAAAAATAATAAAATAAAATAAAATAAAATAAATAAAAAAAGAGCCTCTCCAGAGTGCTAAAAAGCAATGGTGTGAGTCTGGAGACTAAGGTGTGCCTGAACCAGACCATGGTCTTCTCAATTACTTGTTATGCATCAGAGAGCTGAACAATGACTCAAGATGACAGAAGAATTGATGCCTTTGAGTGGTGGTGCTGGAGAAGAGTACTGAACATACCATGGACCACCAAGAGAACTAACAGGTCTGTCCTGGAGAGGATGATACCAAGCTCCTCTTTGGAGGCAAGGATTCTGAGGCTCCATCTCACATACTTTGGGCATGTAGCCAGGAGGGAGCAGTCTTTTGAGATGGACATCAAGCTTGGAAGAGTCGAGGGACAACGTAGGAGAGGAAGACCCAGGATGAGACGGATTGACACAGTAACTGGGGTAATGAGGATAGAAGTGTCAGAGACAGTGAACTGCTCAGGGTAGGGCATGGTTCAGAGCCATTATCATAGTTGACTTGACAGCATACAACTACAACAACAACAACAACAATACACATATTCTACAGAAATGGTGAAAGGATACAACTGAGACATACACTTTTTCTAATCTTAAACTATGCAGTGTCCCCATGTTCTGTTCTAAGGGCTGCTTCTTGGTCTATGAATAGGTTCCACTTGAGCACAATTAAATGTTCTGAAATACAGGGAGCTCTGATGGTCTAGTGGCAAGAAGCTGCAATGGCAGTTCGAGGTATGCGGTGGAGCTGGAGAAGGAGGGACAATCTCCTCCTGTACCAGTCAGATCCGATTTTATGCTACACACACACACAAAATAATAAAGTTTTAAAAAATGTTTTGAAATACTTATTCTTCCCAATGCTAGCCACAATTTATAATGATCCACATGGTCAATATCTTTGCATAATCAATAAAATAACATCTTTCTGGTAGTCTCTGTTTCAGCCAAGATCCATCTGACATCAGCAATGATATCCCTCATTCCATGGCCTCTTCTGAATCCAGCTTGAATTTCTTACAAGTTTCCTGTCACTGTATTACTCCAGTTGTTTCTGAACAATCTTCAGCAAGATTGTAGATTTGTGGGGTAATATCACACGATCTTGGGTGCTGCAGGATAACCGAAGTTCAGGGCATGGAGAGGGGAGGAGTCTGACCATGGCCAGGCTTGTGTATCTACAGCCCCAGGTTTGAATCCCACTCCTCGCTTTCTCGGGGAGAACGAACCAGGGCAGCCCTGCTCACAGATGCCACGTGATGGAGAAAGTGGTGGTTCCTGGAAACTGCAGAAAGTGGAGATGTTCCCATTCTCCCCAGGGGAGACCCAAGATGCTTAGGGGTGAAGCCACAACATACTTAAAGCTACAGAGTAAGATTTTTCCTCCTCCAAAAATGAGTTTTATTACTTTTTGGAACCAAAGACACATATAAAAGTTACTATCCCAGAAACCGTGACAACAAAGAAGCAGGTGCCCTCGCTCTATGCTCAAAATCTCTGGTTCACTCTTTGCTCAGCTCCAGGGGAGGCTGTCTTAGGGGGAGTTGAGCCACTTCTCACTCCTCACCTCCCTCCCCTGCCCCCAGCTGCCTGGACCCCCCAATGCTATATTGAGTTCCTGATGTTACATTGTACCCTCATAATTTTGCCCCAGTCCTACACGTCATCCATAATGCTGCCTGCAGCGTCCCCTAAAGCCAGCCACATCAAGGTGTCATCAGAGTGGTGGCTGAGGGGAAATGGACCCGTCCAGGCTGTGACCTAAGGGACACAGTAAGAGATACTCAGGTTAGACCAGAGGCAGCAGGATGAGCCCCACACCTCTCACAATCACCCTCCCCAGTCCCGTCTCTGGCTCTCTGTAGGCTGTCCCCACCCTCTTCTCCACCCACCACCCCTCCTTACCCTCTCCTCACCTGGGGTGTCCAGGACTTCAGAGCAGCGTGGCCCTGAGTCCCAGGACCAGGAGCAGGAGCAGAGAGGCCCCAGAAGGCCCGAGGGTGGCCGCTGAGCTGTTGGTGTCATGGCTATGTTTCTGCTCAGCCGCCTCCTTCTCTCTTCTGATACAGATGGAGTAAGTCAGGCCTGTGTCTCACCCAGAGTCACGGGGTACACAGTGGGCGATGGGCTGTGTGACTCTAGGCCTGCAGCTCCCCCTGTCTGGGCCTCAACTTCACCTGCTGGGCAGTGAGGCTGAAGGGGGGTTTGGGGGAAAGGAAGGGTGGGGAGTAACAAGGCCTGGTCTGGGGCTCTCTCACCTTAATTGCTCCACCTCTGCTGACTTCTCCTGAAGTATCTGGTTCAGCTTCTTGATTTTTCCTGAGGGACAGGGTGGACACAGTGTCTACACATTGGCCAGGCCAATGGTTTGGATCCAGCAGGCTGCTTCTTGATTTACTTCCTCAGGGGACATTGGCCCAGCTCCCACCTGATCTGGCCCCTCCCCACCCGATAAACCCTTCTCCCAGACCCTTCTCCAGTATTGGACCCTCCACCCTTCAAAGGGCCAGGACCTACTTCTCTCAGAACCTTGGCTCCCCCGCCTGGATCCACTCCTTTATTAGATTTCTGGGCCTCCCATCCCCTTCCTGGAACACCAGCCAGGTCCCCTCTTCTTACCATTAAGCTCCTCAATATGTGCCTCCTTCTGCCAATTTTGATCCTTCTCTGCCTCTAGGGAAGCCTCCAGCTTTGACTGTAACAGAAGCAACAGGTGACAAACTTTAACAATTCTTTGCAAGTGCACATGGAACAGTCTCCAGACTGACCACACATTAGGCCACAACATAGTTCTCAAGAAATTTCAATAGACTGAAACCATTCAAATTATCTGTTTCAGTCACAAGGGAATACAATGTGATTCTTTATGTACTGCAAACAGGTTTCCAGAGGGAATCAATCACACAGGGGAGGGCTATCTCTCTTTCTCCCTTGGAGCAGCTGGTGGGTTTAAAACAAGTACCTCTGGGATGGCAGCACCACTTCCTATCGCTAGGCCCCCAGAGCTCTCTCAGAATAAAATGAGAATCATTTTGTTTGTTCGTTTGTTTTAGATTGCTCAAACAAGTAATAGAGTGAGAGGTAATGGAAAATTTATACATGTATGGAAAAGAAACCACATACTTTTTAGCAACCAATGGGTCAAAGAGAAAATTAGGAAATACTTTGAGACAAATGGATGTGGAAACACAGTGCACCAAAACTTATAAGATGCAGGAAACGCAGTGCTCTGAGGGAAATTCATAGCTCTGGTGGCCCAGTGGCAAGAAGCTTCACTACAATCCTGAAGGCATGTGATTCAAGGTCACCAGCTACTCTGCAGGAGAAGGATGGGCAATTTCCTCCCCTGATATTAATTGCTTCTGAAAACCTGTCATAGGATCAGCTATAGGTCAGTTTCAACTAGATGGGAGGGTCAGCTATGGGTCAGTTCTGACACACACATTAGAAAAATAAGAAAGATCTCAAATCAATAATTTAATTGTAGTCTTTAAGAAACTAGATAAAAAAGAGCAAATAAAACTCAAAGTTGGTAGAAGAAATAATATTGTTATTGTTTGATTGCCTTCAAGTCTAGCATGACTTATAGCGATCCTATGAACAAAAGGCCTGAAGCCCCTCTACAATTATTGACATTTATCAAAGTTCATAGAGTTTCTGGAGGCATGTTATTTAGGAAGTGGATGCTACTCCTCCTTCCAAAACTAAAACTTAGACCACAGATAAATGAATTAGAGAACATTGTTAAGAAAATCAAAAGAACAAGGTTGCAGAATTCAAAATCAACACATCAAGTCCATTTCTTTTTTTAAAATTTTTTTTCAAGTCCATTTCTGTACACAAACAATTTATGAAGGTTGCTGATGAGGTTGTTTCATCTACATATCAAAAGATGTGAAAGTTTATACTTGTAGTACTTATTGATAAAGTATTCTGCAACATAAAAAAACCAAAAATCTTCACAACCAGACCAGTTAGCAATAATCATGATAAATAAATAAAAAAATTTGATGTTTTCAAGTATTTATGAAAATACAAATCAAGAAATCAAAATGCATTGCATTGAGCAAAACTGTTGTCGAGGATCTCTTTAAAGGGATAAAGAAGGGGCGCTCTGGTGGCCTAGTGGCAAGGAGCTGCAACTACAATCCCAGAGGCACACAGTTCGAATCCACCAGATGCTCTGCCGGGGAAGGAGGGACAATTTCCTCCTGTACCAGTCAAATCTGATTTGACGGTACACTCACACAAAAATAATAAAATTTAAAAAAAAGGGATAAAGAGCAAAGATGTCACTTTGAAGACTAAGATGCACCTGACACAACGCATGGTATTTTCTCTTTCTTTGTATGCATGTAAAAATTGGAAAATGAATAAGGAAGATTGAACAATAATTGATATTTTTGAATTGTGATGTTGGAGAGTATTAAACATATACCATGTTATTGTTGTTGTTATGTGCCATCAAGTCACCTAGGACTCATAGTGACTCTATGTACAATGACCCTAAACCCTACTCTATCCCGTGCCAATCTTATTGCCTCCGACACACGAGCTCCCATTAACCTAGACACTGAATCAACCCATCTCATTGAGGGTCTTTCTCTCCTGCACTGTTCCTCCACCTTCCCAAGCATAATGTCCCTCTCCAAGGACTGGTCCCACCTTGCAATGTGTCCAAAGTATGTCAGACGAAGCTTCAGAATCCTTGCCTTTAAGGAGCAGTCTGATCTCAACCTCTTTAGGACAAACCCATTTGCTCTCCTAGTAGTCCATGGTATATATACAATACTCTTCTCCAGCACCACAGCTCAAAGGCATCAATTCTCCTCTCATCCTTAGTCTTTGTCCAGCATTCTGATGTATTGCAAAGACTATGGCCTGGATCAGGCACATCTTAGTTTCCAGACTGACATTGTTGCTCTTCAGTACTTTAGAGAAGTCTCTGACAGCAGACTTTCCCAATGCAATTCATCTCTTAATTTCCTGGCTACTGGTACCAAGAGTGTTGATTGTGGAACAAAGCAAATTAAAGCTGTTAATCTCAATCTCTTCACCACCTATCATGATGCTGCCTATTGGCCTAGTGGTGAGAATCTTTGTTTTCTTGTTGTTGAGCTCCAATCCATACAAGAGGCTACAGTTCTTGACCCTCTGCAGCAAATGCTTCAGGTCCTCCTCAGTTTCAGCAAGCAGGGTTGTGTTATCTGTATAACACAGATTGTTGTTGAGTCTACTTCCAATCCTGATGCCACACTTCTCTTCATAGAGACCAGGCTCCTGGATAATCTGTTCTGCATATAAACTGAAAAGGTATATACCACAGACTGCCAAAATACACAAATCTGACTTGGAAGAAGTGCGGCTGAAGTCCTCCTTAAAGGCAAGTGTGGTAAGACAACTGCCTCCTGTTAAGAGGCGGCAGTTCCTGGGAAAGGGCATCATGCATGGAAAAATGAGAGATCAGGGAAGGAGAAGGAGACCCTGAGTGAGGTGAACTGGTGCACTGACAGCAACCGTGGGCTTAAGCACATTAGAGATTGTGAGGGTGGCACAGGATTGGGCAAGGTTTGGTTTTATTGGACACAGAATCACCATGAGTCAGCAGCAAGGGGACGGCACCTAACAACAATCATAGCAAGGAATGTTTTTTTTATTATTAAATTTTATTAGTTTTAATGAACATTTACAGAGATTTTGGGTTTCCATTCATTCATTGTTGCACTGTT